CTCATGAAACTGATTTCGGACAGGTTTCTGAGGCAGAGTAACGATTTAATGATCTACAACAAAATAGAACGAGTTTTGGTGATAACTAAACAAATATTTTTCCTAGGCTGTGTCTGAAAGCTTGCTGCCTCGCTGCCTTATGAGGCAATGACTTTGCAGGCAGCGTTTTTGCACGAAGGCACCTCATGAAACTGATTTCGGACAGGTTTCTGAGGCAGAGTAACGATTTAATGATCTACAACAAAATAGAACGAGTTTTGGTGATAACTAAACAAATATTTAATTATTATAATACTAATATCCCGCTAGAAATAACATCAAAAGTGCAAAACGTTAGTCAGAAATATACATTTACACACAAACGAACTACCAAACAATTTGTATCTTTATCTTTTTATCTCATCAAACGCCATCTTTATTTTTTAGCTCAACCATCACAGAATGGAACGCACAGAATTGTGGGATTTCAAAGACAGCAAAGGATACATCTATGCTGCCTTCAAAATTCGATCAGAAGAAGGTACCTCCAGAGACAGGAAGTAAAGCAGAATTTGGATTCGGACGTGTCTTGATGCCTTCCTGCCTTGGAATGCTGCCTCCGAAGGCAACATTTTAGAGCTTTCGGACGCATCCCTAGTCTTGAAAGTACACACAGTATGTAGTTGCAGTGGAGCGGTCTGGTCACGTGAAATGATGCCTCTTAAATCATTTACAATGTATCAATATCAGTTAATTAAATTTGTGATGAAACAGAAGTTGCAACCATTTTTTTTGGCACAAATCCATTCCACAATCCATTGCACAACAGGAAGCATGATGCTGACTGGATTTGTAATAGAACATGTACATTTCATATTAAAGGGCTACCTTCCCAGATAGCACACATACATCTGTCTGTTAAAGATCTCTTGATCTGGAAAGCATCTGCGGTGAACAAACATCTGAGCGATGTCTTTAAGATGTCAGTTTTACATACATTCTAAATCATAAACATCTTAAAGACATCTAATAAGTACGTCTATTTTACATCTGATTGGAAACGTCCAATAGACGTATTGCAGATGAACAAACACTCTAAAAAATATGTCTTGCAGATGTAAATGCAGACGTCAAATAGACATCTGCAAGATGTATGTGTGCTATCAGGGTTAAATAGCATAAAAATAATATCAAATTATAACAGTCCTGCCCAGGACGTCATGCACTCATGATTTTTGAGGGGGCACGTATTTTCCAAATTGCTTGTAGATGTTACTTCACTTCAAGTGAAGTTAACCTGTGGCAAATTCAATTGAATGGGCATGATTCGGAAAGGCACACACATCTTAATTAAAGGTCTAACAGCTGATAATGCATATCAGAGCAAAAACCAAGCCCTGAGGTCAAAAGAACTGCCTGTAGAGCTCAGAAACAGGTTTGTGTCAAGCCACACATCTGGGGAAGAGTTCAGAAAAAAAATCTGCTTCATTGAAGGGTCACAGAAGCATGTAGTCTCTGTTACCCTTAAAGGAAGAAGTTTAAAACAACCAACTCTTCCTAGGGCTGGGCTCCTGGCCAAACTGAGCAATTGATGGAAAAGGGTCTTGGTTAGAGTGGTGACCAAGACCATGATGGTCACTCTAGTTGAGCTCCATGATCATACATGCAGATGGGAGAAATATCACTGCAACACTCCACCGATCTGGGCTTTATGTCGGAGTGGCCAGACTCAATCCTCTCCTCAGTGAAGACACATGAAAACACACTTGGATTTTGCATAAAAACACCTAAATGACTCTCAGACTCTGAGAAACAGAGTCTCAATTCCAAGCATCATGTTTGAAGGAAACCAGGCAATGCTCATCACCTGAAGAGTACCACCCAAAAGTAAAGTGTGCTGGTAGCAGCCTCATGCTGTGGGGCGGCACGGTTTCTCCCGCGAAGTCACTCAGGCTTGTGCATGTGCAGAATGATCTCAGTGTTGGCTGGATTTGTTTTTATCAGTTCAGTCAAACATTGGCATTTTGAATCAAGCGGCAATCTCCCGCGCTCTCTGTGAAGCCAACAAGGAAGTGACTTAAACTGTAACTCGTCAACTGGTCGCTAGAGGCGGGCTGCAAAAAGGAGTCAATCCCATAGACTCCCCATGTTAAAATGGCCAAATTTACAGCAGAAAATAACGTTTACAGCCTGGATCAAAAAATTATTTTGGTCTATATAGCTAATTTTGCCCTTCATGACATCTGTGAGGGGGGTGAATAACTCATCTGTTTAAATTATATTAAGCCTTAAAGTTCTGCATAATTAAGGGCGTGGCCACTTGAGTGACAGGTGGATTGCTGTTGCTGTCACCACCGTCGAGCTAGGTGGGCGGGGTTTTAGCAACCAGCTCCCGCCTCTTTGTCCATTTTTGATTACAGTCTATGTTCTGAATTTGAAAATAACCATTCATTTAATCTTTTTAAAATATATTTGTGCAGACTTAATATATGTCTTCTCAACTAAGTCCAAGCTAAAATATTTGTTCAACTTAAATATTTTTGCCCTTCCAACATTTTGTTAAAGGAGACATATTATGCCCCTTTTTACAATATGTAATATAGGTCCCCAAAATGTATCTGTGAAGTTTCAGCTCAAAATACCCCACAGATCATTTATTATATCATTTTGAAAATGCCTATTTTGAGTGGAAGCAGAAACACAATGTTTTTCGTACCTGTCTCTTTAAATGCAAATGAGCTGCTGCTCCCGCCCCTTTTCCAGAATCGAGCTGTGCCATTACAGCTCCTACCTGCTAAAAAACATGTTTTGGTTCCGATTATCATGTTTATCGCACTGAAATCATGTGTTTTAAACCATATTAGTTTAAACTTCTGATATACCGTTTTCTGAGTGCTCACTTACAGAGAGCGGCCGTCACAGCATGTGAGTACTAAACTAAGTTCTCATTCACACACAAGTTTACGTTAAAAACACACGAGTTACAAAAACAGTCGGTTATGTCTGTGGAGGTAAACTGCTGGGAAATAAATCGCATAGGATGATTCTAAGGGCCTGACGATGGAGGGGGACCCCCCAAGGGGGAAACGCGATTTCTACCGAGGGGGACCCCCCCCGGAACGCCATTGCGATTTCTTCAGTTTATACATTTATATACAAGAGATACATGGCTATTGTAATTGAAAGGTCAAAATGTTTTTTTTTTCTTTTTAAATCCCACTATTTCTTGCAGTAAAAAATACAGTTTGAATCTATAAAGTTCTGGTTTGCAGACAGCAAAAATAATAATCCATCATAATAGGGTATATGTCGAACATCACCTAACCAAACCCGGAAAACAGGTCTCATTGCTTCCGCTTGTCGGAGAACGTGTTAACAGCCGTATTAAATACCGGTAATAGCCTTAATATACTTTTAAGATAATCAGTTAAACTAGCTAGCTGTTTTTATTTTTGACGTTTTATAAAATTTTTATATCTAAATGTAAAAAAAGCATAAAAATAAGAAAAACTTTTAGATATCAATCCGCATATGTGATGAACATTGGTTATGATCATCATTGGTATCTACTTTGAAGGTATCTGGAGTAAAACTGCTTCATATTTAACGAAGCATATGCAAAGCGCTTGAACTGGAAGCGACGAGACCCGGTTAACACAATACAAATAGTCTGTTGCGCATAACCCCTATTAGTAAGACACTGGTGCTGCAAGGAAAAACATAATTTTCGTACATCAGTGAAAAAAATGAGAATGACACATTTTTGTGTATTTTTATTTAGACCACACTGTAACAGACACAACATAGCAGATGGATAAAACAAGAACACAAATGTAATTTCACACATGGAAGACAAATGTGTAAAAGGATAAATGCAAAAAATTTTACCACTACAAATACATTGTTATTTATTAATTATACCACACATTTGAAAGTTTAACAAGTAACTTCGTACATCAAAATTAGAACAGGATTTGTAAATAGTAAAACGAAAAATTGAAAGGTTTTTTTTTGGATGTGACCACATTCTAGAAATTTCAGAAATTCATAAATGCACTTAGACGAAGAATTTTCTTGAAATCGAAAATTGACAACAGTGAAAAAAAATTATTTCTAAAAGCTTGTTGAAATTCCAGACTTAAGGAAATGGTTGTTTACATAGAACCAAATAACACTAAGTGCTTTTATCAGGTTGATTAAGGCTGAGCTGTGACGCAAGTACAAGATTAAAGGCCATTTGTTCATAAGACCCAGCTAACTTGCTCAAAAGTCTTGTCCATTTTACATCAGCATGTAAATGAGTCCTGAGCTAAGGGTGACAGTCATTTACTGCTGTAATCATGGTAAATTACCTATCTATATACATACACAAAATGTAATTGTGTTGTTGGAAAGAACAAATGTTTCTAACACCTTAATGGAATATATAAAAAAAAACATTAACAAATAAATGTAATAAACAATCAAACAAATCATACTATTAAATGCACAAAAAAACACTAGGTATTTTCTAGAAATGTAGTGTTTTTTTTATTACATATTCATACTCTGAAAACATGCCAACACAATCATTACAAAAAGTTTGTGCCATAGTTCCATGTACGTGATCCAGTCCCTACTGTATATACAGTGTAAATTACATGTTCAGATAAAACAATGCACCTCAATTGTACAGTAATCAAATCACTGATTTACCACGTTGAATAAAGTGCGTAATGAAATGTGCTCGTTTAGTTTGTGAGAGAAAAAAAACAACAACAACTGTAGGTAGATAAATTATCCAGAAAAAAAATAACTGAATAGAGATTAAAGTAAAAAAAAAAAAAAAATGAGGTATCAATATTTTAAATGTCCCCTAAATTGTTAGGAATGGAGAGAGAGAGAGAAGAAAAAAAAAGAAAAAACAAAAGTTTAAAAAGGACAAAACTGAGTCATGAGAATTTTACCTCCACTGCTACTCTACTTCTTCGTGGTAGCAAAGATTTCTGAAATAATCTACCAGTTTTTAATTCAAAACCTTTCAAAAATGGGAATTATGATGAAAGAGAACTAATATCAGGAATTTGTCACAAAATAGGTTAATAAAGCATCACAAAATATATGAACACACCTGCCACTACATCTTGCTAGTGGTGTTTCTACAAATGATCACAAAACAAACATGAATTTGCCTGAAAAGTGCAACATATAGATCAGGTATACTGTTTTGCATTAACTCGCAAGATCATGTCTAATTGAGAGGAATACAGGCCTATGCTCTGCTTAGGGACCATCTGCATCCAAAACTGTGATGTAGAAATCTGATCTGTACCCAAGAGATTCACACACTGGTAATCTACAAGAACCAGAGCCAGCTTGAGAAGAGCATGCTAAGGTTCAATATTTTAAACCTAGAGCCTCTTCATTAAGTACTGGCAAAGCGGACAATTTTGTCCAAATTCTAGCTGGCGGACCAAATTCAAAATATCATACTGCAAGTATGAAGTTCTGCCAACTCTTTCCCAGATGCAAAGATTGTTTTTAATTGTTTAGATGTCAACCAATTAATTCAGCTATACAAATTTTCAGAAAATGACAAAGTTTCGTTGTAATAATTTCTTGCGAATAGTTTTTGCCTTTGTGTCATTTAGTCACACCATGAGAACAGGCCATGAATCCTTCATGAAGTCATGATGACATTGCCCCAGTGTTGCTGGCCCATTCAAGTCTGTCATCAATGCAAATCCCACAGGCACTTGTACGAAACCCTCATTAGTATGAAATGGGGCAATCTACAAGACGGGCCAAAGACAGCATTACTGCATGAGAAGTGTGCAGAAAGATGCTTCACATTCTGAAAAATCAAATATAAAGACAATATGTGCTTTGCGCTGGGTGGTTGTTTGGGGAGGTACAATAAGTGTAATATTCCCGCAAAAGATTCTTAAAAATCTCTTTCCCACTCATCGGTCTCTGCATTATAAACTTGCACTATACTTCTGGAAGTTTAGGGTGTGTTGTGAATACATGTAGGATATTCACAAAGATGAGGACGTGATGACATTGCGTCAATGTTGTAGGTCCATTCAAGTCTGCCATCAGTGCAAATCCCACAGGGACTTGTACAAAACCCTCATTAGTATGAAAAGTGGCAATCTACAAGAAGGGCCATAGACGACAATACTGCTTGAGAAGTGTGTAGAAAGATGCTTCACATTCTCAAAAAGTATGCTTTCATATCATTGTGAACAAAGCGTCAATCATGCATGCTTCAACAATAAAGACATAACATTATGGCTTTTCAATAAGACAAAGCCAATTATACCATTACTTTCACTTCAGTCCGGGTGGACGCTTAACCTTAAGCCTAAATAAACAGCAAATGCAGTATGTGCTTAGCGCTGGGTGGTTGTTTGAGGAAGTACAATAGGTGTACAAGCTATTCCCGCAAAAGATTCTGGAAAATGAAGATCTCTTTCCCACTCATCTGTCTCTGTATTATAAACTTGCACAATACTAGTGACGTTATTGAGGTGCCAGTTGTATCCTCCGACTATATAGATCTTTTTATCCAGGAGACAGCAGCCAGCCTCTGACTGACCAGCTCGCATCGGACTGACCGTTGTCCATTGATCGGTCTCTGGAATGTAATACTCTACAGCTAGCACATCAAAGCAGCGGTCAACATGGTCCATTCTGCCACCGAGAGCATAAATACGGTTGTTCACACTGATCATAGCATGCAAGACTCTTGGCTCGTTCATGGGACACTTGAAGTCCCACTGATCCGAGGTCGGATCATAGCAATGGAGAGTCTTCTTATCCTCCACAGACACCCCGTAACCTCCTGAGACATAGAGTTTCTCGCCGCACGTCGCTCCGGCGTGACCCCAGATCCGCCTCTTGAGGGAATCCACATAAGTCCACTCATTTTTCCTCGGACAATAGCACTCTACAGAGGACAAGCTGCCAGACCTGTTGCGTCCTCCGGTAGCGTAAAGTTGTCCGTGCAATACGTTGAGCTGAAACTGAATGCGGCTCTCCTGCATGGATTGGATTCGAAGCCACTGGTTCAGATGGGGATCGTAGCGGAAGCAGATGTCGACTGCGCCCTCTCCACTGCGATACTGCAAATGCTGCCCACCCACGACGTACACACAATTGTCGAGAACCGACACACACGCATGGCTGCATCCCATCTCCATTTCAGTCAACTCTTTGAACTGTCGCACCGTGACGTCGGGCAGGTAGTAGACTTTGCCGCTGACTGTCCGATCATTGTCTGTGTAGGGCGTTCCACCGAACGTAATCAGCGAAGTGACGTCTGAGCGAATGGAAGTTCGCGGTGATTGCATTTCATGCTGTCGGAATGGAAGGATCTGATAATTGAAGGCCTCTAGGAGAAAGTGTCGACATTGCACATCCTCCACCATGATGTCGATAGTTTGGACGCTGTCCACAAGTTCAGACGAACGCATTAGTGGGAAGCGCACGTGGCAGAGCACTTCGCTGGCCGTCGCTCGTCTGGACGCATCGTGCTGCAGCCAGCATATTGCCGCATGGAACAAGTCGATCTCGCTACAGTTCTTCAACTTGTTGCTCTGAAGGAAGAAAACCAGTCGTTCCTTTGGAATGTGAAGGAAGTCGTCCTCCTGAGCTATCTGCAGGAAGTGACGGAACGTGAACGCATCTACCGACTGTTTAAGGGACGAGAGGCTAAAAGTAGTGGCCATCTGGCCGATGTTTAGACAAGTCTCGACGCTCATGGCTGATTTCAGGAACTCCTCACAAAGCTCCACCACAGGCACCATCTGCAGGAAGACGGCTGCACCAAGAACATCCTGAATGCAGTCCAAGTCCAGAGTGACCTCAGAACTGTAGGCGAAATCAATAATGTGCTTCAGTCCTCTGGCTGAAAGACCTTTTAGCTCGATGGTGTTCTGGTTTGACTCCTTCATTCCTCCAGTAAACATGGCTCTGTATGGATCAAGAAGAAAATATTTCACACTTTTGTTCAAATGTGTGGCAAAACGAGGGGATCTCCATACATTTAAGCTAAAGAGCAACAGTGACCCCTCACTTTTTAGCACCCTTGGTTCTGGAAATATTTTCCCATTCATTTTCTACACAGGGATTTGAAAAAATCTTTAATAAAGAGTCTTGAACCAAAACAACATTAAAAGCTTGACTAATGAGATCACAGAAGAGTCACAGGTCACAGAAGATGCGTTCGTCCATTTGGGTGTACAATCTCTGGCTGTTTAAGTGCTTATTGTTTTTTAATGGGCGATACATTTTCTGAGATACTAAGAAATAGGGACCTATATACCGAAATTATCGGCCGAAAATGGCATTTTCTTTTTCAGCGAAAGAGAAAAGGGGCCGAAAATATACGGCATGCCACACCGTTCAGCAGTATTCAGCGCACAATAATAATATTATATTGATATTTTATATCAATATTAATACATTTTCTGTCCAACTTTGTTCGACTCAAAAGTGTGGTTATTTTATTGGCTTGTATTTTTTTTAATTCAGTATCATTATTAAGTCTTACAAAATTATTTAATAAAATAATAATGAAAAGCATTTTCGGATTCGTGGTTTCATCAGCAGCTCTTGCTTAAAGTAGCTAATAGGTTTGTGTTGAACATGCACGTTGAGAAGACAATGTTAGCGTTCATTCATTTTAATTGTAGAGGAATTAATTTTCATTTTGAGACTTTGTAAATAGTTAGAGGAAAAACTGGTCATCATACACTAAACAACTGAGAATCACACACTACCAGAACAGACTCGTGAAGAAACTTTAGCCTTTTTGCAAGGAGACACGACAAATGAAACCAATGCATGTTCTAAAATAAACATGTATGACCTCCTCCAACTAGATGGATTCATAGTCTGAAGCTAAAAAATTGTCCATCATAAAATGGCGATATTCTATTAAATCAGTCAACTCAAATCTGCAGTCTTCCCCCCCCCCCCCCCCCCTTCTTTTTTTTTCTTTTCTTTTTCACATCAACTTGTCATTTCAAGTCAACTCGTCATTTGGACTTAGGGCTAGTCATTAACCTTGTTAAACGTATTTTATTAATCTCGCCATTTGCAGCTCAGTTGGCTGGTGCTGACAAATGTGCAATGTCTCACCTAAAGTAGTCACTGCAGGAGGCCAAAACCGCTTTGTGAACCTCAAACCGCTCGTTGTCAATGGCCAGAACCACATCCAGCAACTGACCTTGATCGCGCAGCGCAGACAGTCCCCTCAGGAGAGTGTTGCTGTGGCTGGGGGCTGAGAAAGTACAACGGAGCGTGCTATTCTTGTTGTTAGCCATGCTGGAAGAAAGAGAGAATCAATTTATCTCTCACCACTCCCTGATCATCGTCTCTGGCTACAGAGTCAACAGAACTTCAGAAGTAGCTTGATGAATCTGCTGTATCCTGACGTTTCACCGATAGGTCTAGGTTTCTATACTGGTGCATCTACATGATCCCTGTAATGGCACCTACTTTTAAATTATTCAACAGAATGGATAAAGAGCCTATTTGGCTACAGAACACCTAAGCCTCACAAATATCAAGCATTAAGTGACCCAAACAATTACCAACGTCAAATGGTTCTTGTGATGACAGTGCATATGTTAAACACAAGTTTATTTGTCATTGATCCTAAACCTCATGTTCTGTTGAGCCAGACTCTGCATACTTCAATGTTTGGGTTCCTAGATGTGCCAATGCTATATATATATATATATATATATATATATACATATATATATATATATACACACATATACACACACATACATACACACACATTCTGGTACTTTTATAGCCAAATAAATTATCTGCCTTAATTTAGATGAAGAATTTTTCAACCTTGTAATAAAAAGTAGGCATGTACTTTTCAGAACTGTGACTAATCCTAGTATAATTTTTTTCTGTTTTGGATCAAGCTGGCCCCAGAAAAACTGCATAATTTTAAATAATAAAAATGCTAGCATTTCACAAATTACTGCATGTATTCAGGTTTCATATTTGGGACACCGTTTTTATTTAAAAACATTTAAACAATGTTGTCAAATTAAAATTTTGTGTGTTCTCATGAGAGCATCAGTTCTATTAAATTTAGGGTCATAAAAACCTTAAATATGACCCTGGACCACAAAACCAGTCATAAGCGTCAATTTTTTGAAATTGAGATTTATACATCATCTGAAAGCTAAATAAATAAACTTTCCATTGACGTATGGTTTGTTAGGATAGGACAATATTTGGCAAAGATACAACTATTTGAAAATCTGGAATCTGAGGGTGCAAAAAAATCTAAGTATTGAGAAAATCACTTTTAAAGTTGTCCAAATGAAGCCCTTAGCAATGCATATTACTAATCAAAAATTCAGTTAATATATTTACAGTAGGAAATTTACAAAATATCTTCATGGAACATGATCTTTGGCATAAAAAAATAATTTTGACCCATACAATGTATTATTGGCTATTGCTACACATATACCCGTGCAACTTATGACTGCTTTTGTGCTCCACGGTCACAAATGAATTCTTAAAGAGGTCTTAAATTTGGGATGCAGGATACAGTGATACAGCCTAAAGTGATTATTAAACTTTAAAAGGCGATAATTTCAATAAATAAATGAGAGCAATGTCCAAATGCAGTGCTGTTGCGCATTCAATGGGCTCACAGTTTCAGAGCATTTATGCAAACAGATTGTCAAATAATCATCAGTAGATCCTAAGCAATGTTTACTTTATGGTGTTTATATTGTAATAGACTGTAGATGGTTGTAAAGAGTGCTTATTTGTATCGCTCTTATCCTTCTGAATGAGCAGCTGGCAAAAGTAAAGCATACACATTTCACAAACAGTGCAACGTCACATTATTTCATCAATTCTCATTGCACCTCTAAAGTTGTGTTTATGCACTCCTTCATTTTTCAATCTAGGAGAACATGTGCTCCTTTGGGAAAAAAAGCAAGCATTACGCCCTCGTGTTGTTAAGTATGCTTTTTGGGCCCTGAATTCTACCAGACACCAGAAAGTATGTGAGGGTAAAAAGGTTCTTATAAACATTTTGATTGAAACAACATTTTCGGTATGTTTCTGTGTATATAGGGGAAGTCGTGGCCTAATGGTTAGAGAGCCGGACTCGTAACCCAAAGGTTGTGGGTTCGAGTCTCGTACCGGCAGGGATTGTAGGTGGGGGGAGTGAATGTACAGCGCTCTCTCCCACCTTCAATACCACGACTGAGGTGCCCTTGAGCAAGGCACCGAACCCCCAACTGCTCCCTGGGCGCCGCAGCATAAATGGCTGCCCACTGCTCCGTGTGTGTGTGTTCACTGCTGTGTGTGTGCACTTTGGATGGGTTAAATGCATAGCACTAATTCCAAGTACGGGTCACCATACTTGGCCACTTCACTATTTAGCTGCCTCTTATACTAACAGTGGAATTTCACAGTGCAGCGGCTGTTGTATGTTCCTGCTCAGAGCTAGATTTGAAAATACATGCTTTTTTTGTGTGCAATAATGGTGCAAATACTAGTAAACTGACTAACGTAAACCTTGGTAAATCTCATTTATTTAAATACTTTCCTTCCATAGGTTGTGTGTCTGAAATGGAAACTCATACTAAATATATATGCAATAAGGACAGCTGCAAAAATAACTTTTTTTTCCACGGTCCATGGCTTAAACTTTCCCCGTGTGTCTTTAGTAAATCCTGGCAGTATAGCTTTTAACACCAAAAGAGGGTTTGCACTGTTAAATCTGGCCCTGTAACAGAAATCAATAAACTTAATGTGAATTTTTGACCTCACAATATTATGCTGTACAGCATGAATAATAGATACTACATTAAACAGTGTTAATAAATTATTAGTTTTTCAAAGAGTCATTTTAAATGAGGGGTGTAGGTGATCTAAACGTAAATATAGGGCAAAGAAGTATGCACAACTACTGTACATATCCAACATTAACCATTATTAATAAATTTAAAAAATCTCTAAAATGATACAGATAAAAGGGTATTGTTACACAGCTGGCCACGATAGGAAGAAAATGCAGAACAAAACCAGATTTTCTAGAAAAACGATCTAATGGCCTTCATCTAATGTTGGGGTACACTTTAACACATTATTAATGTGTGCACCTTTAATAATAATACTGTAGACTGCAGAATAAAACTAATATTTGTTGTTTTCTTTATTATCCCTGTTGCATTTTAGGACAACCCTATGCACGCAACATCTGATGCTACATGCATTCCTACCTGCTTTGAGCTCGACTCGCACAGAACTCCACACCATCCGACTCCGCCATGCTCAGCGAGGATGAGGATGAGGAAGGTCATCATGTGTAGAAGCCCAAATTACCGCTAATCATGCTCAATCTTAGTAAAATACGAAATACAAGACACGGCAGTGACAAATATACAACCCACCCACATCACACTTACAGTTTCGAGTGCATAGACTGCTACGAGACAGTGAGAGCATTAGAAAGCAAAGTAATGATTTCTAGCCCATTAATACTGGACGGCCTGTAGTCGAGGACAGTCCAGGTGCTGCTGACACAGTTCAGCTCCAGCTTACCTGCGCGCGCCTCTCACCCGCTGCGCGAGCTGCTTCTTCTTGGTTTTTAACGGCGGCTGGCATCCAACGTGAATTGGTGCACTACCGCCACCTGGGTGTGTAACAGAGTTTTATATTCTATTTAGTGCTGTCAAACGATTAATCACGATTAATCACGTTCAAAATAAAAGTTTTTGTTTACTTAATATAAGTGTGTGTACTGTTTATGTATTATGTATATATAAATATACACACACATACAGTATATATTTACATGTATATATTTATATTCATATAATTTATATTATATATAAATATATTTAATATAAAACGTAACATATTTTTCTTAAATATATACATGCACGTGTGTGCATTTATATATACATAACAAATAAACACAGTATGCACACTTATATTATGTAAACAAAAACTTTTATTTTGAATACGATTAATCGCAATTAATCATTTATTTATTATTATTATTTATTTAGTGATTTATCAGACGCTTTTATCCAAAGCGACCTACAAATGAGGACAACAGAAGCAATCAATTGTAGTATTAAAACAACTAAAAACAGATCCAAAACCAAAAGCTAAAACTTTATAAATACTACCTATACACATTTTAAAAATAAAGAAATTTAATAAAAATGACAAATGCAACAAAATTTTGTTTTGCTAATTTATCCACTTCCTCATTCCCCCTCATTGTGCCAGGACCAGTGTTCGAACTATACCGTGGACTTTGGGGGAGCCCACTTGTTTTTGATTTTTACTTGATTTTTACTTTCTTTTATAGACCTCGATGTAAAAATATGTTTACATGAAAGTTGACTCAGAATGCGTAAACAATACTCTATTTAGACACCTTTAAACTATGTGACTGACTGATGAAGTTAAATGTTGTGTAAAGTGTGATTGTACTGTCACCTGTCATCAGAACATTATATATATATATATATATATCTTATTAAAGTAAAAAAAAAGTCAAGAGCAGTGAGAGATTCTCTCATTTGTTGTTTGATTAACATTAATGACAGATAGCAGGAAAATTGACTGCTGTCACTTTAAGAGCTGCCCGGATCCAATATACTGTTACACATGTTTTCTTTCTCAGCTGTTTGCTTTCACTTAAGACCTAAATTTAACCGTTCAAGGCCTATAAAGAGGCAAATATAACTCTACTCTAGCACTCTATGAGCACTGTGTTCACGTGCCTCTCAGACAGCATGCGCAAATAGCAAAATGAGTTCTCTTTCGCTGCTGTTAGCGTTTCAATGGCTTAAATCACTTGTTTTTTAACCGCAATGCTTAAAAATGTGTGCAAACATTACGTTTTCGTGACCACGTAGCACAGCAACGTCACGTGAGCGTGTAACCGTGATAGAGACGATAGTCCAAAATCTCTACCGGTTGACAAATTTCTACCGGTTAATCATGTCTACTTGTACAGTGTTTCCCAACCGGGGTGCCGTGTAAAAAAATCATTTTTTAATATTTTTAAATTGCTAAAATGTTCTAAAAAGCATCTATTATATAATATCCATTTCTGATGTCGCCAATAATTTGAGTCACCGAAATTTCGGCTGCCAAAAATTAGTTCACCGCTCAGGTTTCACTTTCACGTGGTGTGACGCTCTGCATATTATCCGCTCTATGTGTGTGTGTGTGTGTGTGTGCTCCGCTCAGTCGCTCAACTCGTATACCGTTCATGCTCATCGGAACAGCAAAGTCCACTCAAAAATTGAGCCGACAGGAAACATCGATGTAGTATTGTTTCTGTCTGCAATAGCCCTACTGTGTTGTAACATGGTGTGGTATATGGGCACTCTGGTAACACTGCCCTCTCATTCATTGATCTGCTAAATGCTATGTTATGCTCACGTGTTATGATAATAATAGCTTTCTAGGACTAAACATTATTTGGATAATTGGTAAAAAAAAGTGGAAAAACAGCAGCATTTGTTCTCCCAGTGCTGCAGAAGTTGTCTGAGGACCCTTATGGTGTTTTCTGTTTGGTGTTAACACCCACAAGGTTTACTTTTTTACTTTGTTATTATTTATGCAGCCACATTTGAATCTTCATTTTCATGTAGATATTTCAAAATGATGTTTTTGTCTGTTTTTTTGTCCAGAGAGCTTGCTTACCAGATTGCAGAACAGTTCCGAGCGTTAGGCAAGCCATAGGCTTAAAAGATTGTATCATTGTGGGAGGAATGGGTAAGATAACATTCAAAGCTTTACTCTGTCGTCATTTTGGGCTCATTTATTTATAAGAATATACAGTATATGCATATTTAAGATAGAATGCATATTTATTAGGAAACACGCTTTATTTGTTTCTTTTTCTTTCATTAGACATGGTCACTCAGGGCTTGGAGTCGTCAAAAAAGCCACATGTTGTTGTGGCCACACTGGGACGACTTGCTGATCACATCCGAAGCTCTGACACAATTAGCCTGAACAGAATCCAGTTTCTAGGAAGACTCTGATGCATGTTTTTTCTAATGTTTATTTTAAAGCAATTTTCATCAAACTCTTGCATGTTTCTCGGCAGATCCTGGATGAAGCCGACCGTCTTTTAGAGCAAGGCTGCACAGATTTCACTAAAGATCTAGAGGTCATCCTCAGTGCTGTGCCCGCAAAACGCCAGACGCTGCTGTTCAGCGCCACACTCACAGACACGCTGCTGCAGTTGCAGAGCATCGCCTTGAACAGACCCTTCTTCTGGGAGCACAAATCAGCGTATGTCAGGAGAATATGTCGAATATGCTTCCTTGACAGAAATTGTGATTTTTAGGCCAGAAATTCAGCTCTGGCATATAAAACTGGTAGCTGTAATTATATAAACATAAGCTTGATATGGTTAGGCAAAGTCTATTTCAAATGGATGACATACAGATGAGTGTCTTCTGGGGGTTTGTTAGACTAGTCGGTTCCGAAATTTCTTTTGAAATGTTAATGAAATTAGTCGTAGCACACATCCCTAGTCGAAAACAAGATTTCTTCCTGTTGCACACTTCAAGCATGCAATGTGACGTAATGCATTGCACATTTATTAGTTCAACTAAATGTGCAATAGAGACATTGACATTCCATTTTGTAATGTAAATGTATAGTAAAAGCATCCTTGCTGAATAAAAGAGTTAATTGTATGTATGCAATTACTTTGGCTGTTCTCAAAACTCGTAGTAAAGGCCTGTTCACAGCAGGGACAATAAATACAATGATAATGTTTTAAAAATCATTCTAACTCTGTGAGAATTCTATAGGAATGTTAACTCCACTACTATAACAATAATGACACAGAAGAACAGTATCATTGGAATCACTTTCAGAGTGATTTATTTCAGCTGATGAATGATAAAAAAAATACGGACAGCCAATCAGAATCCACCACCCTATCATAGACATGAAAGCTGTTTTGACAAAGGCCTAATATTATTTTTATGTCACATGGCTCTCTCTCTTTCTGTCAGAGTGTGGAGGGTCGAAGAACTGAATCAGAGATTCATCCTCACTCCTGAGAAAGTCAAAGATGCTTACCTGGTCCATCTCATCCAAAAGTTCCAGGATGAACATGATGATTGGTCTATCGTGATATTCACTAACACATGCAAGTAGGTTTTCAGTTTCAGAAAAAAACATTGCAGGGTTAATCAATTCTAATTAAGACAAATCCCTTTTATAACCCTTCCATCATTCACTGCGTGTGCAATGGGCATTAATGATACCTCAAATTAGGCAGCTTGTTCACAAAATGACATAACGGACAAATCCCTTAGAGTCACGTTAACCCTCATACTGCATTCAAAATCTGGATTTTTGCATTCCAGGTCCATTTGGACCAGAAGGATCATTTTTCAGCTTATTAGCAGCTTCTCATTAATGAGTGAATGTGAAAAAATGTTACCATGTTTTGAATATTAATGGTGATTCATGGTGTTATCACCATGTTCAATATTGATGAGATTATTTGAATATATCATTGTGTTAAACTGATAAGAACCTATAATCTGGGAATTACCAGTATTAACCCTATTGGAATGAATGTCTTTATAACTCAGGGTTGCTCAAAAACAGTCCAAAATGATGAAACCTACATATTTATTTCTAACAAAAACAATTACTCCGAAAAGTAAAAACAAAACAAAAATACATTTATTTTACTTGCTTAAAAGTTCAGTTTCAGATGAAAAAAGTGATTCACTTTTCATAACGTGACGGTTTGTCAGTAGGTGTAAGAAATGTAACAAAATGAATTCCCAAAATCGCGTGAGATATGGGGAAAAAGCTAAATATGTTTTACAAGCGTTTTTTTTTACACTAATTTAATTTCATAGATAATTTAACATTATTTTGGAGACCTAATGGTACTCCATCCATGTACCTTTTTTAATGGTTAATATCTCTTAGAAAATAATTGTAAAAAAATTAATTAAAAAAAAAGTTGTGTACTTTGAGAGTCGGAAAACACTTGCTAAAATGTGTTCCCTTACAAAAAAAACGATGCTGTTTTTAGAAATATTCATGTATCTCACAACAACATTTTCATATGAATATGTAAAAATATATGACAGATATTGTTAACGTAATTGTGTAACGTTTACGAATGTTCCAGGAACTGTCAGATACTAACAACGATGCTGCGCCAATTCAATTTCCCAACCATCTCCCTGCACTCAATGATGAAGCAGGTAAGTGACATGCTACACAGTTAAAATTGATTCTCACTCAGCGCCTAATGTCTATACTAATGGTTTTTATGTTCTTCCATCTTCAGAGACAGCGTTTTGCCAACCTTGCAAAGTTCAAGTCTAACGTCTTTAAAATTCTCATAGCCACAGATGTTGCTGCAAGGTACAGAGAAAACACTTCTCTTTGCCATTGTCTAATTCTCTCCACTTTCATGTATCTGTTCTTATCTAAAGGGGTTTGGATATTCCTACGGTGCAAGTTGTTATCAATCACAACTCACCGGGTTTGCCAAAAATCTACATCCACCGAGAGCAACGTTGAGTGTGTTCCTATATGAATAACAATAAATATATATATATATATGTATAAAAACTGTAGAGAGAGAGAGAGAGAGAGATGGATAGATGATAGACCCTAGTCAAAATTTGAAGTGGATCAAAAAAGTTCATCAAAGCTGTCCTAAGACATGAACGCATTTTAGTTTTAGATTTTAGGACAACTTTGATGAAAGGTTTTGATCCACTTCAAATGTTGACTAGTATATAGATATATCCAGTGTTGGGGGTAACGCATTACAAGTAACGCGAGTTACGTAATCCGATTACTTTTTTCAAGTAACTAGTAAAGTAACGCATTACTTTTTAATTTACAAGAGAATATCTGAGTTACTTTTCGAATAAGTAACTTTTTTTTTTAACCAATTTATTGACACAGCTCTCCTGTCCCCATGTTGATAGAAATCAGAAGATGTTACTGTAGTTCTAAAATAAATACGAATATGCATTAATTCATCTCACTCACAAAAAAAGTATTCCTCAAAATGAATAAAAATAATGCAACTCAGAATATGACGCAAACCTGCAATAATTAAAACGCAATATTGTAATGCATTACTTTTAAAAGTAACTTTCCCCAACACTGGATATATCACGATGCAGAAACGGCAGAAAATGTTTAACAGTGGGCTTTTATTTTGATAACTTCCGCTTTCACCTTGAAGTACAACGGTAAACGTTTTGTAGATTATCTTGTGTTGCGAAGTAGATTCAGTAGAAATCCTTCGTGAGTTAAGAATTTAGTCGATTAGATCTTTATTATGCAAATACATTTATGGTAGCACAATCTGATAGGTGGCATGTTTCGTCGGTACACCGGACTGCATTGCTAACATACTTAAAGGGATAGTTCACCCAAAAATGAAAATTCTGTCATCATGCACTCACCCTCATGTCGTTCCAAACCTGTATGAGTTGCTCTCTTATGTCGAACATAAAAGAAGATATTTTGAAGATTGCTGGTGATCAAACAGTTGGTGGTTGCCATTGACTTCCATAGTAGGAAAAAAAAATACTATGGAAGTCAAAGGCAACCACCAACTGTGAGCCAAAATCATCACAATTAAAAGAACCAAAGACTTAAACTACTTCAGTCTGTGTGCACTGAATTTATTTAATACACAAGTTTCACAATTTGAGTTGAATTACTGAAATAAATGACCTTTTCCACGACATTCTAATTTATTGAGATGCACCTGTAGTCTCTGGACTAAATATAACACTTTTATTTTAAACAATATTTACTCGCATCACTAAGCAATATTTGAGAATGGAATGACAATTATACTATTAATATATGATTAATTCTAGTCTAATTGCTGTTCGTGTTTCTTGAGTGCAATTTTTGTAAGTGTTTTTAAACTCTTTATTCAGTAATCCCGAGTACACATCATTCAGAGCACTAAAGAGAGTTTTCATGCGCTTTTATGTCAAATACTGTAAGCATCACCACCTTTACTGGTTCATTTGATTTCTTCTTCTCTCCTAGCTCCCGTTATCTTTACTGAAGACAGCACAGAACCACCCGATGGTGAGTATGAGGCAGCTCACATCGCCTGCGCACAGTTAAAGGAATAGTTTGCAGAACAGATCTGGAGAAATTTAGCATTATCACTGGCTCAGCAGTGGATCATCTGCAGTGAATGGGTGCCGTCAGAATGAGAGTCCAAACAGCTGATAAAAAATATCACAATAATCCACACGTAGAATAACAAATAAGTTAGTCTGCTTTTGTTTTCAGCTGGTGGAGTTAAAGAATGGTGAGACGTACAACGGCCATCTGGTCAGCTGTGACAACTGGATGAACATCAACTTGAGAGAAGTCATTTGCACTTCACGGGTAAATAAAACCTCTTTCCTTGAGATGAAGTGTTCTTCGGAATATTTGAAACTATTTTGATCGCATAAACATGATTGAGCCGTTATGGGTCAGTGTGTCTGTGCTGGAATGTAATGGTTGTTTCTGCTTGCTCTGATTTGCAGGATGGAGATAAATTTTGGAGGATGCCGGAATGCTACATCAGAGGAAGCACCATTAAATACTTACGAATCCCTGATGAGATCATAGATATGGTGAAAGAGGAAGTACTGTCGAAGGGACGTGGCCGGGGGGGCATGCAGCAGAACAAACCACAGGGAAAGGGCAGAGGAGGCGGACCTGGAAGAGGTGGTGGAGCCGGCAGAGGTTAGACACATTTCAGAGCCCTTGTTAAAGGAATAGTGTGACAAAAGTTTCATTTATGGGTGAACTTAAAGGGAAAGTTCACCCAAAAATGAAAATTCTTCACCCTCAAGTTGTTCTAAACCTGTATGAGTGTCTTTTTTTGTTGTTGAGCACAAAAGAAGATACTTTGAAGGTTGTTTGTAACCAAACAGTTGACGGTAGCCATTGGCTTGCGTAGTATGGAAGAAAATACTATGGAAGTCAATGGCTACCGTCAAGTATCAATCCCACTTTTGGAGCATAGACTCCAGAATGACATTCCCAACTTGGAAGTTGTAAATCTTGAATGCTTTGGAGCACAGACAAGTATGGTCTCGTTTGAAAGCTGACAATAGTCTTCCAAAGAAAAGAAGAAAGTTGCAGAAATGTTATATTTAATATAAAATATGTCTTTTAAAATATGTTGGACTCTAAAACTGCTATAAAACTAAACAAGCTGTGTTCCAAATTTGAGGTTGATATCTCAAAAAAAAAAAAAAAAGTATATTTTAGTAATATTTTGTTAGGGCACAGTACCAAACTTTTCCACTAGATGTCTGCCAAGGTCAATCGGTGATCCATATAAAGATGTGAACAATATTTTTCAATAAATTTCATATTTTCACACAATTTATGAAGTAGCCATACTATTTAGAAGAAGTATGAGCAGTATTGTATTTAAATGCAACCTCTAACAAACAAACATAAAACATTTGCATGTAACAGTTTATGTTGGAGACATGTTGCTTTGTAAATCTTACTTTCAACATTTTCAGTAAAAAAAAAAAAAGTTGCCTTTTGAACACTTTGCATGAAAAATAATCATGGTTTACCAATTTTTCACATGATCGCACATTTATCTTGATTTCATAATAAAAGTCTGAACAGCGTGAAAAGTTTTGTTGCATGCTCTTGTAAAAAATGAATAACTAATTTTTGCTATATAATTAATTTAACGTATGAAATGTTGCAGTCAAAGTTTTTGAAATGCATACACACAGTTGACAGACTTCTTTTATTTTTATTTTAAGGTGTTTTTGGTGGCCGTGGCAGAGGCATGATGGGAACTGGCCATGGACAACAACAAGACAAAAAGCCTGGAAAACCACAAGGTGTCAAAAACCAACACTAGATATAAAACACATCATCTCATGTGTTAGTTTGTTTTACTCCCTTTAGACACAAGAGAGCACCTTTTCAGGTCTCTTGACATTCACACATTAACATCATAAGGTTGAGTATTTTCTTTTAGAGACTTATTTATAAGCCTCAGTTAGTGTATCAAACTGTGCTCAACAACTTTTTGCACTGAGTTTGTTTTAAAATCCCTTAATGGAAACACATGTGAATTTTTACAGTCTGTCTCATACTTTTTCTCATACTGTCTCATCTGCTTTCTCAGTTTAATCATCAACCAGAAAGAGTGAGCTTAATTTGAAACGATATTTCTGTAAGGATTTTAATTTGGACAAGTGGATGTCAAGATGCTCTTCCATTTTCTCCAAATAGTTTTTATTTTCTGTTGCCTCACATTTTGGTGCATGTTTTCACATTGCTGTTTTAAGTTTGTTTTGTTTTTGTGCTTTAAAATACAACCATGGTGTAACTTGACTTGTGTATAGTGCACTTGTGAATAAATCTTTTTTGTTAAATATCGCAATTGCTGTGAATTTCTGTGTGAGCACTCTTTTACATCTAAAGAAATGGAAACAAGTTGCATGTATTAAACATTCAGTATAGTCTTACGTAACTACAGTCTTTACAGATCTCCAAAACTACGCTCTATAACGTAAATTTAGACTGTCTTTGGGAAGTCAACATAAAAATGGCTTGCCGAGTCATCTCTGCATTACAAGGGATAGTTCATTCAATCATTCAAAATTGAAAATTGTCATCCCTTAGTCACCTTCAAGTTGTTCCAAAATTGTATGCAATTGCAAAAAAAATAGGTTCTAAGAGACGTCAATGGTTTTACAAAACCATTTGTAAAAATTGTATTTTTTAGCAAAAAACTATTTTTTTGTAAATAAAAAGCCTGACAATGTCACTGCTTAATACCTATAAGTATTGTGATTTATGGTTTACTTTGGCAATCTCTGTCTCCCTCTCTAAAACGTGCAGTTCTACAGTAAAAAATCGAAAAACACTGATAAATGATAGCATTTTTTTACTTGGATTTCATTAACTAGCTGCATAACAAGAACATGACCAATTTAAGTTTATAGGACAACTAAACTATCAATTTAAACAAAAATTTACGGTCAACTACAGACGTTGCATCCATCGATTCCGCCATGTTTCTCACTGACACGCCCCCAACTCGGAAACTCGGGGCCTAAAGAAAATGTCGAGTTTCCCACTCGTAATAACGACTTTGTGGTGGCGTTCATGTGCGTTCAACAATACGATCTATCCGACATGACTTGAGCACACCATACGTCCCAACACGATTTCCCAGTGGGAGTGCTGCTATTTTTAGGTCAACGCCAATAGTTTGTCTTTAGTTTCCTCTTGTGGTTGTTTTGTCAATGAAACAGCATCGAGAGTTATTCATTTTCGATGAAAAGCCAATAGACCTTAGTCAGGATAGCGCCACATTTTAGCCCCTTTTTTACTGGAATGAAAACGAGGATGTTGACGTATAGAACTACAGAGCGTTCATTGCAACGAAACGTTAACTTGTTACATCTTTAAAAAAAAAACTTTCACTAAACAAAAACTCCATAACATAGTTTTAAAAGTTGTGAGTTAATATTAAGTGATCTAGGACCTTTCCTCACAGCCCCGTTTCCATCCGCGTTAAATTCAATATGGCGTCTAAAACAAACTCAGAAAAACAGGCAAAAAATGCAACACCGTCTCAAGTAAACAGCACAAACTTTTATTTTTTATAAGTTCAGTCATTTTCACAACATAGACAGTTGATTTGGTAAATTTCACCACTGGACACTTTAACACCAAACCCCTTATTGTAAGTACAGTACATTTACTACTGCTTATTAGTGTTTTTTTTCCTTGTACATTACACTCGATTATCAGAAGAAGAAAAAAAATCACAATGGAAAACATGAATAAAAAGAATTCTAGATAAAAATGTAGGAAATGGAGAACAAACTCTTAGTCACGATAAACTGATCTGAACGTCGAGCGGATGGATACCTTACATCAGGGGTGTCAAACTCAGTTCCTGGAGGGCCACAGCCCTGCAGAGTTTAGATTCAACCCTAATTAAACACACCTGATCCAACTTGTCAAGTCCTTCAGGCTTATTTGAAAACTACATGGTATGTGTGTTGGAGCATGGTTGGAACAAAACCCTCCAGGAGCTGAGTTTGACGCCCGTGCCTTACATGGTGAGCTGTGATGTTAATAAAGATCCAACCTCATTATCTTCTCATTTCTGATATGCATGGGGCTCACTAAGGTCCTCTATCTACTGTATATCATCTGCTTATTAGGCCAAAATGGGACCCACCTACAAACAAATCGTCCCAGGTCTCATGGATGTAGCAATGGTTCTGTTGACATCTATATTATTATTATTTTTTTTTTCTCAGTTTGAAATAACTAACAGCATTTGCCATTTTTTTGCCAGCTTTTGAATTTCAGCAAACCTGCTCCACAGTAGACGTCACAGTCAGTCTATCTGCCTGCTTTGGTTTACAACAGTACTTTGCGACTAGGATTTAAACCACTTACTCAAACAATCACATTTCCATTCCCTCCTACGAAAATGTTAACAGAATGATAAATAATCTGCAAGACATGAAAAGGTATTTTCTTCAATATTGCTCTGTAATAAAGTCAAATACATTCATTCACAAGCAGGCATACACAACAGCAGGTAAAGAACATCCTTTAAATCCTCTTTATATATATATATTTTTTTTGCTAATATCACCTAGATTTTTTTTAAAGCCCATAATCGATACAACACAGTCCACACATAAAACCAAAGACTCAAATGTATTTACAGTAAGTTTTCACTAAAGGAAAACAGAATAGCAAAGGAAAGATGCAGGAATAATCAGGGAGGATCTTGCACATGTAAACATTAATACTTATCATGGGCTTTTTTTGCAAACTGATTTTTGCATTATAGTTGCAGGCCTGGTAGCCACATAAAATCTTTCACAGGACACGCGCCAGTCCAAAAAGTCATCATGGGAAATGCCAGTCAAAATCTCAGTAACTTTTGCTAATTTTTGAGAGCGTACAAGAGTATTGTTGATAGTATGTCGAGCTTATGGCTCTGCTGCTATAATGAAATAAGCAACACCATGGCCGCAAATCAAACTCGGATTTTGACTAGAAATACACTTGACTAGACCTAACGAAGCATTGAGAAAGGAATCCTACCACTATTTGCCTAAATGGCTTTATTTCCTTCCATGCAAATTTACATTAAGGAATGTTTGTGTATGATATCAGGCTTTCAGTCCCGGGACTGAAATGACACGAGGCAAGGCAGTGAACAAGACACAAGGTCACCGATACAAATAAGCAAGAAACGTCTGTGACGAGCACTGCAAAGAATTACCATGAAAACAGCATCGACTTCTCTAACTTTCTTTATATTTGTCAGAATTTCAAAAAAATAACAAAAACGTTTTAGATATATATTTCTAACTGTATTATTTAAATACTGAACTGTATTTATTATGTACACTTTTTGGAATAAATATACAGAAATCTCTGTCCATTTCGCTTTTTTATATTTGTTCCATATAATTTAAGGATATGGAAGAGTAAAAAGAAAAATGTTAAAATATGCAGTAAAATGAAGGGATCGAAAACTTATAACAGAAAACCGATTCTGTGTGCTATGCCAAACTAAGGCCTAATTACACACTCCTAAAATTTAAATTTAGGCCTTATTATAAAGTCTTTAAAACATAATGTGGGCTTAATCAGAATTTCAGGCCCAATCAAACCCTTAAAGGGATAGTTCACCTAAAAATGAGAATTCTGTCATTATTTATGCTCCCTCAAGTTGTTCCAAACCCATATGGGTTTCTTTTGTCTGCTGAACACAAAAGATGATATTTTAAAGAATGTTCATTACCAAACAGTTGTTTTTTTTCCATACTATGGGAGTAAAACGGGACCAGCAACTGTTTGGTTAAACACATTTTTTCAAATGTCCTTTGTGTTCAATCCTTATACAGGTTTGGAACAACATGAGGGTGAGCAAATAATGACAGAATTTTCTTTTTTAGGTGAGCTATCCCTTTAAAGTGCACTTAAACGGAATGGATTGCATGTTGAATAATATCATTAAAGTTTGAGATGTCAAAATGATTATTTGGAGAAGAAGGGGAGGGACTAGAGGGTGTGGCCAGAGAAGGCAGTATGGGAACTTTTTAAATACCTAAACAGGTGGTTTTTGTGTGTTGGTGCAAGGCAGTGCAGATAGAGCCGTGGGATTTTCAGCAGGCGCAGTCCTGGTGCGGAGCGGTGGGCTGCTCCGTGAGCTGCGGCCCCTGTTTGGCTCCCGTCACTGCAGGATCGGCGGCATCCAGGCTCTCTGACATCTTCTCGCAAATTATGTCTACCAGTCGCTCGAAGGTTTGCTTAACATTAATGTTGTCCTTGGCACTGGCCTCAAAATACTCAAAACCTGAGGATAAAAGAAGAAACCAAGTCAAGACCAAGGCCTTGTTCTAAAACCCAATGAGCTGCCTACAATAGCAGCATGTTCACACATTTTATCATTTTTTAAATCAAATTTTTAAAAAGTCCATACTTTTCCAGACTCAAACTTTAGTAAAATTTTCAGACCATATTTCAAATCTTTTATCCACCTTTTAACATGTATGCCACTTTGTGACTATGCATGCTATTATGCCATTTATATTTAATCAATTAGCAGACGCTTTTATCCAAAGCAACTTTCAAATGAGGACGATAGAAGCAATCAAACCAACAAAAGAGCAACAAAATATATGTGTGTTGTAACAAGTCCCGGTTAGTCTTACGCAGTACACGTAGCAAGGTGTTTTTTTTTTAATTAGAAGAATAAATGTATAGAATGAATGTAAAGAATAAAAAGTGCAGTCAGGTTCCCCCGAACCCAAGCTTCTTGGTGTCAATTGCGTTGAGAGACCAGTTGATCAAATCCATTAAGTTTTAGATTTTTTAGTCTGGAGAGCAGTGCGGAGAGAGTCTCTCAAAATCAAGACAGTAGACAAGACGAGAGGAGCAAAAGCAGGGAAGGTAACGGGGAGGAGAGGGGGAGAAAATGCGACCGCCTTCGCTGAGAGCCAAATGAGAAATATGATAATATTTTGAATTCATTCAGTCATGTTAAACTATCACTAAACATTTGGCTGCATTGACTGCATGCTCCAAACGGCATAAAAAACACTCTGCTTATATGGTGAATTTATTTTTAGAATTTCAGTTTAGAAAACAGAATAGGGCCAATAGTCCAGAAACACAAATAGTTTTCCATACTCGTTTTCTTCTTTCCATACCTATAGAAATGACTAAAGTCAAATTCCAAACTTTTCCATACGGTGTAAGTTCCAGGACATGTCAGATTATGAAAAACATGACATATATTTTGGAAAATATGGTATCTATCAGCAAATGTATATTTCCTTAAATATGAGGCTCATATCTGAAAGTATATTTGAAACTATTGCTGTGAATATCCAAATATATTGTGCCAACCGGCAAACACGACTTACCGAGATGCTCGGAGAGCTGTCGTCCCCTCTCAGAGGCCACCACCCTCTCATCGTCCATGTCACATTTGTTGCCCACTAGCAGCACCTGGGCGTTATCCCATGAGTACGTCTTAATCTGTGTGGACCTGCCAGAGACAGTCAGATTTGTTTAAATGTTTGCTTGTTAAACTTTCCTCTAGAGCTGAACTTTATCACAAAGTTTTTCTTCCATATCATGCGATATCTATATTCATCACAATATTCATTTACCATTAATGGGAAAGAAAATGCTTTCCACATGTTTGTTAGAACTTAATAACTTAACTTAATACAACTTGATTGTTCATAATTTTCAACAATCTCAAATCTCTCTTTTCTGTCAAAGATACTTGAAAAGGCAGTATCCTCACAACTATGTTTCTTCTTAGAGAAAAATGGTATTTGTGAGGATTTCCAGTCAGGATTTAGACCGTATCCTAGTACTGAGACTGCTCTCATTAGAGTTACAAATGACCTGCTCTTATCATCCAGTCATGGTTGTATCTCTTTATTAGTGTTGCTGATCGTAGCGTTGCATTTGACACTATCGACCACAACATTCTTTTGAATAGACTAGAAAATTGCCATTAGCAGAATTGCTTTGGCATGGTTCAAATCATACTTATCTGAACATCATCAATTCGTAGCAGTGAAAGAAGAGGCATCATATCGATGACAAGTGCAGTATGGGGTACCACAAGGCTCAGTACTAAGAACGTTCCTTTTCATGCTTTACATGTTACCCTTGGGAGATATCATCAGGAAACATGGTGTTAGCCTTCACTGTTATGCTAAAGATACTCAGCCCTACATTTCTTCACAGCATGACGAAACATACCAATTCACAAAACTAACATGGATAGTGCATAGTTGATATACCGATGGAATTTTGGTTACTTGGCACTCTTGCCTTTGGCTTGCTTAGTTGGGGACACTTTTCTGGCAATAATCACAGAGTAGTACCCTTTACCTAACCCATTTCTTTTCTTATTTTTCTAAATTCTGTTCCATTTAATTTTTTTCTTGTGTTTTGATTTAATATGAATTTATCATCAAAAATCTCTCATGAAATGAATACATTGCTAACAATTTAAAATGTAATCAAATGAACAATTTATAACAAAACATTGCTTTTTTTGTCAAAAATAATGCTGCAAACGAAAAATGAAAACATGGATGGAAAAAATGTATAGCTTGTTTGATAACCCCTTACAAATAATACTATTATTACTAATTTTACAATAGTAATACATTTCTGTGATAATTGTTTCACCTAACTTTTATTTTGGCAGGTTGTTGTAAAGAACTTTGAGATCTAGTATGTGTTTGACAATAGCTTTTCTCGAATATAACGGTGTAAAGCTGCTGAAGTGAGTCTTAGAGCAGCTCTGGAGATGAAGTTCATGTGTTTATTTCTCACATATTGAAACAGCAGACGCTGAAAACACAGTAAGTTTCATGTGTTTTAAGTTTGTGTAGTAGACGAAACTACGCCACTCATCCACACATGCAGAACATGTTGTTTTGCATGTTTAGTTAACTCACCAGTCCTGCACAGCGGCAAAAGACTCCTCGTTTGTGATGTCGTACATGAGGATGAAGCCCATAGCTCCACGGTAGTAGGCGGTGGTGATGGTTCTGTAGCGTTCCTGTCCCGCTGTGTCCTGTGAAGGAACAAACCAGTAATGCACAAGATGAAATAGGAACAAATGCAAGACCAATGTTTTACAAACTACAGTATACGTCTGTTCAATATATTTTAGAATGTAACCTATTCCTGTGATGCAAAGCTGAATTTTCAGCATCATTACTCCAGTCTTTAGTGTCACATGCTCCTTCAGAAATCATTCTAATATGCTGATTTGATACTCATTTATCATCATTTATTACTGGTGTTCAATTATTTGAAATATTTCTTATTATCTATGTTGAAAAAGAACAACATTTATTTTTATTTGTTTTACTTTTACACTATCAATTTAATGCAGCTTTTCTGAATAAAAGTATTAATGTCTTCTTTTTTCACTTCAAACATTTGAATGGTAGTGTATCAGTTTCCACAATGATATTAAACAGCACAACTGTTTTCAACATTGATAATAATAAGAAATGTGTCTTGAGCAGCAAATCAGCATATTAGAATGATTTCTGAAGGATCATGTGACACTGAAGACTGGGGTACTCCAGTAGAAGACCGGAAATTCAGCATTGCGTTACAGGAATAAATTACATTGTAAAATATATTAAATAGATGGTGCTTTAAAGTTGTTTTTACTGATTTTTGATCAAATAAATGCAGCCTTGGTGAGCATCAGCGATTTAGACATAAAAACCTAAAAAAAAAAAAACACAAAAAAAATCAATTACAAACTGAGGGAAAAACTGAAATAATTTTCTGTGGTAAACAACAGCATATTGTCGACTTTACAAGTTGTACTAAACCTTTGAATTTTCCTTCATTGACCATCTGCACTTTTTTCACAGAACCAGGAAAACAGGATTTATATGTGGGTCAGGATAGCGCCACATTTTAGCCCCTTTTTTACTGGAATGAAAACGAGGATGTTGACGTATAGAACTACAGAGCGTTCATTGCAACGAAACGTTAACTTGTTACATCTTTAAAAAAAAAACTTTCACTAAACAAAAACTCCATAACATAGTTTTAAAAGTTGTGAGTTAATATTAAGTGATCTAGGACCTTTCCTCACAGCCCCATTTCCATCCGCGTTAAATTCAATATGGCGTCTAAAACAAACTCAGAAAAACAGGCAAAAAATGCAACACCGTCTCAAGTAAACAGCACAAACTTTTATTTTTTATAAGTTCAGTCATTTTCACAACATAGACGGTTGATTTGGTAAATTTCACCACTGGACACTTTAACACCAAACCCCTTATTGTAAGTACAGTACATTTACTACTGCTTATTAGTGTTTTTTTCCTTGTACATTACACTCGATTATCAGAAGAAGAAAAAAAATCACAATGGAAAGCATGAATAAAAAGAATTCTAGATAAAAATGTAGGAAATGGAGAACAAACTCTTAGTCACGATAAACTGATCTGAACGTCGAGCGGAAGGATACCTTACATCAGGGGTGTCAAACTCAGTTCCTGGAGGGCCACAGCCCTGCAGAGTTTAGATTCAACCCTAATTAAACACACCTGATCCAACTTGTCAAGTCCTTCAGGCTTATTTGAAAACTACATGGTATGTGTGTTGGAGCATGGTTGGAACAAAACCCTCCAGGAGAGGCTTTCAGTCCCGGGACTGAAATGACACGAGGCAAGGCAGTGAACAAGACACAAGGTCACCGATACAAATAAGCAAGAAACGTCTGTGACGAGCACTGCAAAGAATTACCATGAAAACAGCATCGACTTCTCTAACTTTCTTTATATTTGTCAGAATTTCAAAAAAATAACAAAAACGTTTTAGATATATATTTCTAACTGTATTATTTAAATACTGAACTGTATTTATTATGTACACTTTTTGGAATAAATATACAGAAATCTCTGTCCATTTCGCTTTTTTATATTTGTTCCATATAATTTAAGGATATGGAAGAGTAAAAAGAAAAATGTTAAAATATGCAGTAAAATGAAGGGATCGAAAACTTATAACAGAAAACCGATTCTGTGTGCTATGCCAAACTAAGGCCTAATTACACACTCCTAAAATTTAAATTTAGGCCTTATTATAAAGTCTTTAAAACATAATGTGGGCTTAATCAGAATTTCAGGCCCAATCAAACCCTTAAAGGGATAGTTCACCTAAAAATGAGAATTCTGTCATTATTTATGCTCCCTCAAGTTGTTCCAAACCCATATGGGTTTCTTTTGTCTGCTGAACACAAAAGATGATATTTTAAAGAATGTTCATTACCAAACAGTTGTTTTTTTTCCATACTATGGGAGTAAAACGGGACCAGCAACTGTTTGGTTAAACACATTTTTTCAAATGTCCTTTGTGTTCAATCCTTATACAGGTTTGGAACAACATGAGGGTGAGCAAATAATGACAGAATTTTCTTTTTTAGGTGAGCTATCCCTTTAAAGTGCACTTAAACGGAATGGATTGCATGTTGAATAATATCATTAAAGTTTGAGATGTCAAAATGATTATTTGGAGAAGAAGGGGAGGGACTAGAGGGTGTGGCCAGAGAAGGCAGTATGGGAACTTTTTAAATACCTAAACAGGTGGTTTTTGTGTGTTGGTGCAAGGCAGTGCAGATAGAGCCGTGGGATTTTCAGCAGGCGCAGTCCTGGTGCGGAGCGGTGGGCTGCTCCGTGAGCTGCGGCCCCTGTTTGGCTCCCGTCACTGCAGGATCGGCGGCATCCAGGCTCTCTGACATCTTCTCGCAAATTATGTCTACCAGTCGCTCGAAGGTTTGCTTAACATTAATGTTGTCCTTGGCACTGGCCTCAAAATACTCAAAACCTGAGGATAAAAGAAGAAACCAAGTCAAGACCAAGGCCTTGTTCTAAAACCCAATGAGCTGCCTACAATAGCAGCATGTTCACACATTTTATCATTTTTTAAATCAAATTTTTAAAAAGTCCATACTTTTCCAGACTCAAACTTTAGTAAAATTTTCAGACCATATTTCAAATCTTTTATCCACCTTTTAACATGTATGCCACTTTGTGACTATGCATGCTATTATGCCATTTATATTTAATCAATTAGCAGACGCTTTTATCCAAAGCAACTTTCAAATGAGGACGATAGAAGCAATCAAACCAACAAAAGAGCAACAAAATATATGTGTGTTGTAACAAGTCCCGGTTAGTCTTACGCAGTACACGTAGCAAGGTGTTTTTTTTTTAATTAGAAGAATAAATGTATAGAATGAATGTAAAGAATAAAAAGTGCAGTCAGGTTCCCCCGAACCCAAGCTTCTTGGTGTCAATTGCGTTGAGAGACCAGTTGATCAAATCCATTAAGTTTTAGATTTTTTAGTCTGGAGAGCAGTGCGGAGAGAGTCTCTCAAAATCAAGACAGTAGACAAGACGAGAGGAGCAAAAGCAGGGAAGGTAACGGGGAGGAGAGGGGGAGAAAATGCGACCGCCTTCGCTGAGAGCCAAATGAGAAATATGATAATATTTTGAATTCATTCAGTCATGTTAAACTATCACTAAACATTTGGCTGCATTGACTGCATGCTCCAAACGGCATAAAAAACACTCTGCTTATATGGTGAATTTATTTTTAGAATTTCAGTTTAGAAAACAGAATAGGGCCAATAGTCCAGAAACACAAATAGTTTTCCATACTCGTTTTCTTCTTTCCATACCTATAGAAATGACTAAAGTCAAATTCCAAACTTTTCCATACGGTGTAAGTTCCAGGACATGTCAGATTATGAAAAACATGACATATATTTTGGAAAATATGGTATCTATCAGCAAATGTATATTTCCTTAAATATGAGGCTCATATCTGAAAGTATATTTGAAACTATTGCTGTGAATATCCAAATATATTGTGCCAACCGGCAAACACGACTTACCGAGATGCTCGGAGAGCTGTCGTCCCCTCTCAGAGGCCACCACCCTCTCATCGTCCATGTCACACTTGTTGCCCACTAGCAGCACCTGGGCGTTATCCCATGAGTACGTCTTAATCTGTGTGGACCTGCCAGAGACAGTCAGATTTGTTTAAATGTTTGCTTGTTAAACTTTCCTCTAGAGCTGAACTTTATCACAAAGTTTTTCTTCCATATCATGCGATATCTATATTCATCACAATATTCATTTACCATTAATGGGAAAGAAAATGCTTTCCACATGTTTGTTAGAACTTAATAACTTAACTTAATACAACTTGATTGTTCATAATTTTCAACAATCTCAAATCTCTCTTTTCTGTCAAAGATACTTGAAAAGGCAGTATCCTCACAACTATGTTTCTTCTTAGAGAAAAATGGTATTTGTGAGGATTTCCAGTCAGGATTTAGACCGTATCCTAGTACTGAGACTGCTCTCATTAGAGTTACAAATGACCTGCTCTTATCATCCAGTCATGGTTGTATCTCTTTATTAGTGTTGCTGATCGTAGCGTTGCATTTGACACTATCGACCACAACATTCTTTTGAATAGACTAGAAAATTGCCATTAGCAGAATTGCTTTGGCATGGTTCAAATCATACTTATCTGAACATCATCAATTCGTAGCAGTGAAAGAAGAGGCATCATATCGATGACAAGTGCAGTATGGGGTACCACAAGGCTCAGTACTAAGAACGTTCCTTTTCATGCTTTACATGTTACCCTTGGGAGATATCATCAGGAAACATGGTGTTAGCCTTCACTGTTATGCTAAAGATACTCAGCCCTACATTTCTTCACAGCATGACGAAACATACCAATTCACAAAACTAACATGGATAGTGCATAGTTGATATACCGATGGAATTTTGGTTACTTGGCACTCTTGCCTTTGGCTTGCTTAGTTGGGGACACTTTTCTGGCAATAATCACAGAGTAGTACCCTTTACCTAACCCATTTCTTTTCTTATTTTTCTAAATTCTGTTCCATTTAATTTTTTTCTTGTGTTTTGATTTAATATGAATTTATCATCAAAAATCTCTCATGAAATGAATACATTGCTAACAATTTAAAATGTAATCAAATGAACAATTTATAACAAAACATTGCTTTTTTTGTCAAAAATAATGCTGCAAACGAAAAATGAAAACATGGATGGAAAAAATGTATAGCTTGTTTGATAACCCCTTACAAATAATACTATTATTACTAATTTTACAATAGTAATACATTTCTGTGATAATTGTTTCACCTAACTTTTATTTTGGCAGGTTGTTGTAAAGAACTTTGAGATCTAGTATGTGTTTGACAATAGCTTTTCTCGAATATAACGGTGTAAAGCTGCTGAAGTGAGTCTTAGAGCAGCTCTGGAGATGAAGTTCATGTGTTTATTTCTCACATATTGAAACAGCAGACGCTGAAAACACAGTAAGTTTCATGTGTTTTAAGTTTGTGTAGTAGACGAAACTACGCCACTCATCCACACATGCAGAACATGTTGTTTTGCATGTTTAGTTAACTCACCAGTCCTGCACAGCGGCAAAAGACTCCTCGTTTGTGATGTCGTACATGAGGATGAAGCCCATAGCTCCACGGTAGTAGGCGGTGGTGATGGTTCTGTAGCGTTCCTGTCCCGCTGTGTCCTGTGAAGGAACAAACCAGTAATGCACAAGATGAAATAGGAACAAATGCAAGACCAATGTTTTACAAACTACAGTATACGTCTGTTCAATATATTTTAGAATGTAACCTATTCCTGTGATGCAAAGCTGAATTTTCAGCATCATTACTCCAGTCTTTAGTGTCACATGCTCCTTCAGAAATCATTCTAATATGCTGATTTGATACTCATTTATCATCATTTATTACTGGTGTTCAATTATTTGAAATATTTCTTATTATCTATGTTGAAAAAGAACAACATTTATTTTTATTTGTTTTACTTTTACACTATCAATTTAATGCAGCTTTTCTGAATAAAAGTATTAATGTCTTCTTTTTTCACTTCAAACATTTGAATGGTAGTGTATCAGTTTCCACAATGATATTAAACAGCACAACTGTTTTCAACATTGATAATAATAAGAAATGTGTCTTGAGCAGCAAATCAGCATATTAGAATGATTTCTGAAGGATCATGTGACACTGAAGACTGGGGTACTCCAGTAGAAGACCGGAAATTCAGCATTGCGTTACAGGAATAAATGACATTGTAAAATATATTAAATAGATGGTGCTTTAAAGTTGTTTTTACTGATTTTTGATCAAATAAATGCAGCCTTGGTGAGCATCAGCGATTTAGACATAAAAACCTAAAAAAAAAAAAACACAAAAAAAATCAATTACAAACTGAGGGAAAAACTGAAATAATTTTCTGTGGTAAACAACAGCATATTGTCGACTTTACAAGTTGTACTAAACCTTTGAATTTTCCTTCATTGACCATCTGCACTTTTTTCACAGAACCAGGAAAACAGGATTTATATGTGGTTTCGGTTTTTACATGTAGCTCCTCCTATCAAGAAACTTGAGAGCAAGTATAACAATAAGCATCCACTATTAAGGAACTGATCTCTGCATCAGAGAAATGAGCCTGTTAATTATATGAACACACTCCATTCAGTCATTACAGGCCCGGCTTACGCAGGAGGCCAAACAAGCATGTCTAGGGACTGACAACAAACTACAGCTTTTTAAAAAAGGAGGAAGACATTCAATAATCGTTATTTCACAAATCCTGCAAGAACATAGAAAGAAACAGTTTTTAGTTTGCACTATGAGCACTTTGCACATTTTTGGCCTCTAAATAAAGTATTTTTGTAAGAAATCTTATACCATTACGTGTGCAAGCTCCTCATCTTGCTGAACTTTGCTCTTTTTGCTGTTTTTCACTACTTGGTTATATTTAAGTCATATGAGCAACTCCAGCTGATTCAACCACAAAAGACTTTCTGAGAGAAACATTAGTATGCCAGAACTATGAGTTTGTCTATAGAGAAGAATTGATGCATCGCACATCCGCCAAGTACTACTATAATAAATTAACAGACTAAATCCTCACAAACGTAACCTATAATTCCTATAGAGACTTCACAAGGGCAAAATGGTTCTATTAATATACCAAGATCTGTAAACAAACCCTGTTTGGCTCCTGACTCTGATACCACAGTAATACATAAGCATCTTTTCACAAGTATGCTGCAATCCAGTGTAGAGTTTCTGTTTTCTGTTACACTGTCTCTGAACCATACGGAGCATTATGTGAAACAATCACCGTTATGCTCAAATCTAATTCTGCTTCCATGTCAAGCAAAAAATCAAATAGTATGCACTATGCAGACTACAAAAGAGCACACTGCATGGTATACTGCGCTTGACTAAACTTTCCATTTCTAGTGTAACAAATGAACTGTAAGCAATAGTAACTGCAATTCCTAACATCTCTTGGGACATCACTTGATCAGACATTTTTTGCACAAAATTGGATCAACCTTATAAAAGTGTACTCTATCATATTTGAAACACAAGGCCTTTAAATCATCAACATGATCAAAGCTTTGATGAAAAACCTACTATTACATGCCTTCTGTCATCTGACTGATACATTTTTAGCAAGTAAAAGGCATTTTAGTGTCTAAAAATGGCCAACTTCAGGTTGAGATACGTGTCTTTTGAAATCTTTAATGATTTTTATTAAGTAAATAGAATATCTTTTATATTGTTAGTAATATTTCAAGATGAACACTTAGCAGACTGAACCAACTTAGGCTTACTTTATTAGAAAAATCACTCAAAATGTGAGCATCAAATATGATCATAAAGCTTTTGATAAATGATCAATTATCATTTTATTGCATTGCATTATGTTTCGAAACTAGAGCGTTTTATCATTAAAACTAAGCATTTAAATATTAATCTTACTAAGACATATTATTAGGAAACACAACTAAGATTTATATGCATTTTATGTAAGTTATACTATATATAAAGATCTTATTGAGTTTACATTACAAGCTATCAGTATTTCATCTTACTTTGTCATAAATATCAGCAACTTCACCAAATTTCATAAAAACAGTTTTTCCTCCTCGAGTATGAGCTCCATATTCTCCTATATCATACTGTATAAGCCATAAAGGCCCGATGTATCAAATATGATAGTGAACAAAAAACACATTTGTAATTTTAGATTTTTTTAAATGTATTTTGTCTAAAGGCTCAATACATTTTTCTTCTCATTTAAAATGTCAGGCTTTACAGGGTTAAAATGCAAAATAACCTCTTACATTTCCAAGATGACAACTGGACCCCACTCAATGAATCACTCTTGAGGTCATGTGACAATGTAGCATTGCACTGTCTGACACGTTTAATACTATTTTTAAAAATATAGTAGGGAACATATAGTACATTTTCTGCAGTACTCCGTAAATGCCAAGCAAGTATTCAGTTCTGAATATAGCCAAATGTTAATGTCTTTTGGGCCTACACTGCATGACGCACAACAGTATATATTTTTTATCCATGGTAAAGATGGTGGGAGTGTGTGTGTGGATCTGCTTGGGTCAGTGGGGTGGGGGAGGGTCCTCTTCCACCAGAGGGAAATTTGAGGCACTGCCGGAGGGGTCCTGATACATCACAAACAATTCTGATTGGTTACTCATCTAGCGCATCAGCAAACCTCCCCAACCCTATTGGTTACTGACCATCTCTCTCTTTCTCTCCGTATCTCTGTACTCAAAAAATATTTAGGCCTGAATTTAAAATGCATGTATTTCAATTGCATATAAAATGTCCAAATATTTGAATTACACACACAGTTAACATAAAATAATGAACTGAATGTTATGCATATTTGTCAGTCATACATAAATGAAACCAGTAAGATGTCTGCACTCAAAAAAACTAAACAAAAAAACAAATCATAGGATATTTTATTACTGACTATTTGATTTTATTTAAAGGGGTCATATGATGCGATTTAAAGTGTTACAAGCTCTTGGTGCATAAAGAAGATCTGTAAAGTTGCAAAGACTAAAGTCTCAATTCCAAATATATATTCTTTATAAAAGTTAAGAGTCAACCACGCCTACCTAAAACAGCTCGTTCTAACACGCCCCCACATGTCTACATCACGATGTGGGAATATTTGCATAACGCTGCCCAAATGTTCACGCAAAGAAAGAAGGCGTAACTTTTATTCTCGCTGTAGTATTGTTGTTGGCGCCAAAGCCATGTCGTGAAGGCGCTGTGTGTTTCGTTGTGAAAGCGAAACTACTTTGGTTGGCCTTCCAAAAGAGGACGATATCCGCTTCGTCATGCCTGGAGCTGATCCGTGCTGGTCGCTGAGGAAATACATCAACTTCGCGCTGTGGATCGCCGGATAGGCTTTCACCGTGGACGAAGCGGAGTCCAGCCCGGGGTCGTCACATGTGGTTGCCGCAAGCCCGCCGGCCGCGCCATTCTCAGGCCCGCCGGCCGTTCCTCACTCTAGCCCGCCGTGTGTGATTTTGTGTGTTTCGTTGTGAAAGCAAAACTACTTTGTTTGGCCTTCCAAAAGAGGACACAACTACAAATCAGTGGTTAAGTTGCATTTACAACACTGTTCCAGAACACTTCAACCCAAATATTCAGATGTGTGCAGCACATTTTATGGAGGACTGTTTCCTGATCCTGGGAGAGTAGACTACAATGCCGGCTGTTCTGACTCACAGACTGTAAGTACGTTTTCATATTTAAAGAATTTGCCACTGATGATTTAAACGCGAGTTTTCAGCAGTGTAGAGTAGCGCTTGTTGTTTGTCATTTCTCCGATCACAAATGCAGACATGGTTTTATGTTTAGGCGGTGTGATGCGATGCAACACAACGTGTAAAAAGACAGTATAAGTCATTATAATCCGTAATTATTTCCCCACTGGATGCAACAAATGCCTCGTTTATAATGGGTTTGAATGTTTTCGTCGCTCTGGCCGTGACAGGGCATTACAGTATGGTAAGGGGCGTAACATTTCCGTCACACTAGGGTTGTGATGGTGAGGAAATTTTCCCACTGGTTAATCTACACGTGACAACACCGATAATACCGGTATCACCGTGGGGGCAGGGGTGTTTTCTCTTTTCCTCACTTTCCTTCGCTTTTAAATAGCTTGCAAAAGCGGCATGCACATTTTACTTTCATTTTCAAATAGCGGCAATTCGGTGTAAAGCAATTGTTCGTTTTTAGTTTGTTTGAATTTTCCCTCTTTTCCTCACTTTCCTTTGCTTTTAAATAGCTTAAAAGCACCATGCACATTTTACTTTCACTCGAATTAGCGGCAATTTGGCGTCAATTGCTTGAATGCAACAACAAAATACAACGTCAAACTCACTTTAGCCTATATATAAAACATAGAACTTTTATTAACAAAACGAATAAAACTACACCATGCTATAGGGCAGGCTATGCCTAATATAAAATAACAAATAACTTACATAAAGTTCAAATGGGTAGCCTATACAAAACTGGAAATAAGTAAACATGTATAATATATAACCAAATAAACAAGAAACGAAGAAAGTTTATTAGCAAAATGAGTAAGAAAGCTTGGAGGCACAGCATACACCTTGATGTCAAATAAAATAAATTACACAAAGTTTAAATAATGTAAAAATCAGCAAACACTGTGGAACCAATTAAATAAGAAACTAATGTTTAAAAAAAACTTCCAATATCACCTTAGATAAACAGCAAAAGTCAACAGGCTTTTCAAAATCCAAAATACGACCAAACAGGCGCTTTTGCATTTTGTTTCGAAACTAAATCATCCGCGATCGTCTTGTATGTCTCACCTCACTCTTCTTGTCAGTCAGCTCGACTCACTCTCCTCACTGGATAAATGAAATCCGATCTGTGATGCGACTGTCATTCGGCACGCTGCATTGAGCAGCCGCGTTCAGTTTTTAATTGTAGTGTCTGTTCTTTTACTGAACTAAATTTTTATTACTTTAAAAAAAATCGATGGTGGGGGACGGTGCCGCGGTGGGCAAGTGACGTAACCGGTGTTGCGGCTTAACACCGGTATCACCGTCAGCACCGTCTATCGTGGCAAGCCTACGTCACACGCTTGAGGTATTCGGCCAATCACAACGCACTGGATAGCTGGCTAATCAGAGCACACCTCACTTTTCAGACCGATGAGCTTTGTAAAAATCGACGCGTTTCAGAAAGGCGGGGCATAGAGGAGAAACAATAATGTACAGTATGTGGAAAATAATGTGTTTTTTGAACCTTAAACCGCATAAACACATTTCATTACACCAAAGACACAAAATAATGTTCTTTTTAGCAACATCATATGACCCCTTTAAATGATTTTTTAATGCATTAATTCAAATAGCTGAGAATCTACATTATGTTCATTGTGAAAACTACAAATTTTGGTTAAAATATGGCTAGATGTAAAACAAGGAATATTCAATTATAAAATGTATGTGATTGAAACAAATTGGATTGGATTGATGACAAATATATAAACCTGGTTATTGTTTCAAACACATTTAGTATTTTCGTACTATTACAGAAATGTTACCCGTTTCATTTTTGTTTAATTGACAAATATGCATCACGTTAAGTTTATTAGTTTGATTATGTTAAACTTTTGGAATGATGGAAATTTTATATGCAATTCAAATAACATAAATCTTAAATTTAGGCCTTTTTTTTTTTTGAGTGACCACAACATTTCTCCATTAAACCATAATGGCTTAATTGGTTGATTTGCTCCATTAGTTGATTTAAAATATTTAGGTTTATGGCATTTCTATCAAAATTGTAATTATTTTTTGCAATTTTACACATTAAACTCAGCAGATGGTCCCGGTCCATTAAGCCAAAGCTCTGTTTCTGAGATTTTAATTAGATTTATAAGTCTGAAATGAGACAGTCAATATCAATAATCAATATCAGAGACTTTACTTAAACACCAGTATAATCATTCTCAACGAATCACCTACTCTGGACCTTCCAGTAAGAAAATAGCTAGAAAGCAATAAGCTGCTATATGATTTTTATCCAAAAAACAACTTTTACTACTTCTTGTCTTCATTAAACAATGACCACAACAAGCCCTTAAAGTGGCACAGATGTGTTCCATGATCTCACCCAGATCTGCAGTTTTATCCTCTTGTCGTTCCTGTAGATGGTCTTCACCTTGAAGTCGATGCCCACCGTGCTCACAAATGCTGGCGTGAAGGAGTCGTCTGCATAACGAAACAGAAAGCTGGTCTTTCCAACGCTGCTGTTCCCGATGATCAGGATTTTGAACATGTAATCAAAGTTTTGGTCGGAAGACTCCTTTTGTCCATAACGGTTATCTGTAGCTGAAGCCATCTGGAGGATGCAGAAAAAAAGAGAGAATGTTTGTACATGTTCGCTTATTAACGTCTTGGGGCATTTAGGCCATATAGCGGCATCAGTTTATAACCATTAATACAGATGTTATGTTCCCAAATGTACCATAAAAAACACTGTCAGAAAATAAACACTGAAAGCTGAGAGTAAAATGCATATTAGTTAGTATGTACAGTAGCATTGTAAAGCACCAAAAATCTAGCGTAGCGTTAGTTCTGGCAGATCACGTTAGTCAAGCTCGCATCAGCTGACTCTCAGCTGATCCCCATCAACCTATGGGAATATGACACCTATCTAAGCATTCATATATAAGGTCCCTCAGTATTATCAGCAGTTTTCACATTGCTCAATAGCTAATTACCCTTCTCCATCCCCAACTCCTCCTCTGTCAGTCAGGATTCAGCCTTCTGGTTCCCCTTTGAATCAGACTAATTCTAAAATGTGTACATAACTTTATTGAACTTTAACGATATCTGCAATACATTTATGTTGGTTCTGTTCTGTTTACCCAGGGGGGTTTTCACTGCTCTCATCCATGCTAGGCTGCATGGATGCGCAGGGAGTTCTTGCCCAGAACAGAACCATACCGCCAATCCAAACTGTATGCTAATTGTCAATCATCTTTAACGATAGTGGTCCTGACAGAATTACATTTCCTTTTAAGATATGTTCTTCTGGTCAAATTTCTTTTGATAAAAGCAAATTATCTGCAATATTGGCCATCCTGTCAATCAAAAGGGGTCAAAAAAGTGTCAGACTTCACAACTCAATATAAGGCTGTCAAAGTTAATGCGATAACGCTTTAACACAATCTAATTTAATTTAAAAAATAGTGCCATTAAGGCAGGTTTTTGTGACTATAAATCACCCGTAGTTCATGCCAGGGTTGCCATACTACTATTTTTAGGACGCATGCAGCTGCTGCCTGTGAATAGTGCTTTCCTACATAGCTGCCTATGTAGTAAGCAGACAGCAAGGCAGGTAACTAGGTTTTGGAACACAGCCACTGTGATTTAGTAGGCTACATTTAGGAGCTTGCTGAGGACGGCACGCCAAGCAAAAGCTCTATATTTCAAAATGACTGTTTATTTGGATTGACTTTGGTTGAGTGAATCTTCGTCCATTTCACTATCGGTCACTCATCCCTTGAGACCTGTGACCAAACAGCAGCGGTAGAGTCACCAGCTACTGAAAATCAGTCAGGCAAGAAACTCTGCCAGGCCATGGTATTAATCTGACATTTTCTTTTGGTGTCAGATCAATATTTGGACCCTCTGAATACAAAACATTAGTCTTTTTAACACCTCCATCAGAATGTGACAAGTGACTCATTCTACTGTCCATCTGAAGTTCACACGAGCTGCTGTAATGATCATTATAATCAGTGATTGTATAACTTTACGGCTATAATTGTTTAAAGGGGTCATATGATGCGATTTCAAGTTTTCTTTTCTCTTTGGAGTGTTACAAGCTGATTGTGCATAAATAAAATCCCTGAAGTTGCAAAGACTAAAGTCTCAAAACCAAAGAGATATTCTTTATCAAAAGTTAAGACTCTGCCACGCCCCCCTAAAACAGCTCGTTCTAACACGCCCCACATATCTACCTCACTATGTGGAAATATTTGCATAATGCCGCCCAAATGTTCACGCAAAGAAAGAAGGTGTGGTTTCAGTAACCGCAGTTAGTGTTGAAGCAGCATGTCAGGGAGACGCTGTGTGTTTCTAGGCGAAAGCAAAAGCACTTTATTTGGCCTTCCGAAAGTAGATGCATTTAGGAATCTTTAAGATTACTTACAACAGAACAGCAATGCATTTTATGGACGACCGTTTCGTGAACCTAGGAGAGGAGGTAATTCAGAATCAGCTACTGTTTTGTTATTAGTTTAAGTATTTGCTACTGACTGGTCAAATGCGGAGTTTTGCGCATCGTGTGTGTGTGTGTGCGCGCGTGTGTGTGAGATAGAGAGAGAGAGAGAGAGAGCTAGAGAGACCAGCTTCATCACTGTGTCTGTCACG